GTTCTTTCTCTTGTCCCATGAAGTGCTGAACCCCATGTACTGTCTGTTTGAGTACGCCGGCAAGAGCAACTACTGTCTGCAGATCAACCCGGCATCGACCATCAACCCAGATCACCTCTCCTACTTCTGCTTCATAGGCCGCTTCATTGCAATGGTACATCCAGAAACCAAATGATATGATTCATACCCCAAGTTGATTTCAGAACTGCTCTGGCTCATTATTTTTCGTGTTTCTTTTAGTCAGATCAGAAATACTGATGAGTTAAGCCCTGGTTAGCTTACTGAATGTTTGTTTTTTATTTCGGCAGGCCCTTTTCCATGGGAAGTTCATTGACACTGGCTTCTCTTTGCCTTTCTACAAACGAATGTTGAACAAGAAGCTCATCCTTAAAGACCTGGAGTCTATTGACCCTGAGTTTTACAACTCACTCATATGGATTAGGTAAGCTTAATGTGTCCTCTAGCTTTGGTCAGTGTCAACAGGACTAATGTTGTTTGACTAAATAATTAAAAAGCCAAAACTGATGTCGGACATCTTCAGGTGGGTGTCTTCGTCTTTCTGCTGATGTTGGTCCCTTATACAGGCGACATTTTGTACATGGTCTGAAGAACCGCTGGTCTTGATGGTTAAACATAAATACTGTTCTCCGCATCATCGTCTGCCATGGTTGTGGGGGGTTTTGCAGCTTCTTCATAGCAAGACCCAGAATAGTGTCCTTTATCGGGTATTAATGGCGTTCAGGTCGGATAGATGCGACCTGGCCGTTCAGACAGGTCGCATTTAAAAAGATCAGATTCATATCGGATTCAGGATCACATAGCCAAGTGGCCTGGGTCGCACTTGAAAAAATCGGATCTGTGTTGTTCAGAGGGCCATGAAAAGATCAGATCAAGGTCGCATATGGGCAAAAAAATCTGATTTGGGTCACTTCAGGCTGCAGTGTGAACGTAGCCTTAGTCTGTTGTCAGCCAGATCAGAAAATGCGGCTGCTCGCTCCACCTTTCACCTGCCAACAGTTCTCAGTGACTATAGACCTGTTTCCCTGACATCCCTCATCATGAAGGTCCTAGAGAGACTTCTGTTGGTTCACCTCAGCAAACAAGCAAGCAGCTATCAGGACCCTGCAGTTTGCTTATCGTCTTGGAGTTGATGATGTCATCATACACCTGCTTCAACAAACCTACTGTCATTTAGACAAGGCAGACATTACTGTGACGATAATGTTCTCTGTTTTTTACCACTGCTTTTAACACAATTTAGCCTGACTTAACTTTGAGAGAACCTCCAGAAGACTCAGGTGGAAGCATCAACAACCCGAATCAAAGACTACCTGACAACCAGACCACAGTTTGTTAGACTGAAGGGCCGTCTGTCT